AAAGATAGGATAGCCTGTGCAGTAATAATAACAATAATGATGTTTGTCAATGTTCTCAGTAGCTAAATCACCAAAGAGGTGCCCCATCTAGAAACAAGAACAAGGAATGAATGACTCATCTACTTAACAACTGTATAAAAACAATTTAGCACAAGAGTGAACAAAGCCAAGCAGGCATTCCCTAGGCAACTATATAAAACACCTCCGCACTGCCCAATACCTTTTCTTAGTTTTAACTCTTGGTCTGTACTGTAAGCCCTATGTGTTTCTTTAAATGCTACTAGCACAAAGTTTGCACTTATTCTGAAATCAGTGATTAATATGTCTATTAGTCTCTAGCCTCTGTGTCTATATGGATGGAGACCAAAACCTTAATTTCAGAAGCAGCACAGTGACTCACATGGCCTGTATCAGAATCGAAATTTTTAACTGCCGGCTGCACGGCTGGCATTCGTTCACTGTGTACTAGGGCTATGCAGAAAAATTATATTTCTGAATATTTTTTTTATTCTTTTCATGATATTCATTATATATGTATATCTCTACTTATTTTATCAGTTTTTTTTTAATTAAAGGAACTATGAGTTCATAGAAGAAAGACAGTAGTAATTTAATTAAAAATTTTTAATAAAAAGCGTTTTGCTTTTTATTTTACTAAATAAACAAAATTATATAATGTAATAAAATTATTTTGATATAATGTAATAAAATTATTAATGTAATAAAATTAATTAATTAATATATATTTTTTAAATAAAACATATCAAAGATGCCAGAACATGCAACATTCTGGATCATTCCATTATATATATATATTATCAGAAGAATTATATTTTTATATCTTCCTTTTTTATATATACTCACACATATATACAAACATTACTGTTTGAGGTCAGTAAGGTTTTTTGGAATGTTTTTGAAATAAATCTCTTACCAAGGGTGCAGCAATGCAGTACAGTAATACTGTGAAATAATAGTAGAAATGTTTTTGTTTTCTGTTGTAATATATTTACAATACAATTTATTCCTGTGATGGCAAAGCTGAATTTTTGGCATCATCACTCAAGTCTTTAGTGTAACATGATCCTTTAGAAGTCATTCTAATATGCTGATTTGGTACAAAATAATTTATTATTATTATTATTATTATTATTAATGTTTTATTAAGATTCTTTGATGAAAAAAAAAGAATATCCATTGAAATATCCAAGAATATCCATGATCCATTCTGTCTTATTTAGTATGTAAATGTTGGCTAATTTTATATTGTCAGCCAAACAATATAGAAAATATTGTGTATATATAAAATATTGCCCAGCCCTACTATGTGTACTATTTCTTGGTGTGGATGCTGATGAGGCAATGAGCTGTTGAGGGGGGGTGTTTATGTGCTTAGATGGGTGGTAAAGCAAACTGCCCATCACTTTCAATGAGCTCCATGGGCAGAAACCTAAACGTATGTCAGAAAGTGACCCTTCTGTTTTCAGGAGGGAAGAAGATCCTCAGTGACCTCTTTCTAAACTCCCCCCACCTCTTCCCATATCCCGCTGAGTATCTCACAACAGACACATCACAACCTCTCCAGCACCAGACAGTCAACACAACACATAATCTTTCTGCATGTATGCCAACATAACTGTGCCTATGCAGCTATTTGGTATTTAGCGGAGTTCATTGCATGTATGTTTATACCATAAAAATAAGTAATGTTTCAAAACTAGCCCTCATTCCCTGACAGTTGTTTGACTGGTGTTGTCCACACCCTACCCCCCTCATCTCCCTGCCAAAACAATGGTGATCTCTGCTCTAATAATCTACCGCCCCGATTGGTCTACCACAGATTACTCTCGGGCCGCCAGCTGTCGGGAGCTTGGCAAAGCTTTTTTTTTCCCCTTTTCTTTTTTGTAAGATCCCATCCATGATCCTGAGATTCCTCAATTTGAGTATATTAACACGGCTTCATATAGCTAGTCTGGGACCGAACCCAATTATTTTCATGCTAGTAAACAATAGAAGGTTAAAAGGAAACCGGAAAACCCTACTGCGCCGTGCCGATAAGGGCCGATTCGCTTCCCAGCCTCTCGGGAGCCAAGAGATCCTGGCTTCGGATCAGTCTGGTTGAGTTTTTTCCCCCTCTTCCCTTCTACTTAAAGCTTTTGTGGATTTTGTTTTTATTTCTGAATCTGAATGGCCACGTTTGACTGCCTCTGTTATGGCGCAGTGTGATTTCGGGTGGGTTTTGGAGGATAAATGTCCCAGAAGCACGCTTTCGGGCAAAATGTTATAGTGTAAAAGGATTAGTAACCAATCAGAACCGCAGTCGGTTAATTCCTTTAGAGTCTGCACCGTTAAAACAATGGTGAATGTATGTGTGTGTGCATGCGTTTAACCTCATGTTCTGTGGAATTGGAGTCGAAATGCCGATATTGTATCAGAATTAATTGAAAGTGGAGACTTTGGGGCGTCTAATGGAAGGCTTTCTGTGAATAGGCTGCCAAAAATAGTAGCATTGCCAGGCGACTGTTATTGCAGCTGCTCCCATAACTTCAGTCTGCATGTACATAGATCCATGGTATTTACATGGGCAGATGCTCTAATGCTGGTTGTTTGTCTCCTAACACAATGTCTGTAGTCTCTAGTGTAATATGATTGATGGCCCAGCGACTGACGGATTCACTCTCTGATAACATGTATGATACTTATCACTGTACGTGGCTGTCATACAAACAATGCGCCATAATATTATAAGATTTAGTTGAGTAAAAACAGAAAGTAAGCCTTCTGTTATCAGTGATTCCTGGTGTTGTCAGCTGATGATATTTTATGCTGCTTCTATGTAAGGAAAAAAGCTTTCCATCAACGTTTTAGCTCCAAACACCATCAATCGCAAGAACATGCCGAACGACCTCAGTCTTACACCAGCAGTAGTAACACTACTTTGGGTTACTGCAGAAATGTTTATGAGAGGTTGATGGGAAATATATGCATATAGATAACTATAGGGAGCGTGTACAGGTGACAAATGGAATTTTAAAGTGCTTTTATATATATATGAAATTTCAACAAAATTTTTATATATTATTTTGTACACTAAATATGTGTATACTTCATATAATTATTTTAGGGGTGACTTTATTTTACTATATTTTATTTGATGATATGGCAATTGTCTTGAACTTACACTGACATTATTAATTTAATCTAGTGCTGTCAAATCGATTAATCGCTTCCAAAATAAAAGGTTGTTTTTATATAATATATGTGTGTACTCACTGTGTATATTTATATGTATATATAATTTATAATTAATAATATTTTTATTATTAATTTATAATACTTTTATTCAAAGCAACTTACAGTGCATTCAGGTTATACATTTTTCAACAGTATGTGTGTTCCCTGGGAATCGAACCCACAACCTTTTGCACTGCTAACGCAATGCTCTACCACTGAGCCACAGGAACACTATAATACATATTAATGTATTATATTCTTAAATATATGCATAAATACACATATTATGCAAGCACAGACTTTTATTTTGGATCCAATTAATCACGATTAATCGATTTCACAGCACTAAATTTTAAATAAATAAGAGAACGCATTTCAGAATAAGTATTTTTTGGCTGGTCATGTGATTTTAAAAGAAATCTTTTTAAAGTTAAGAATTAAGTTGACATGGAAAATACTGAAGCATGTTGGAACAATGCAGTGGCTTTTGGAAACCCGTTTTTAGTTTATTATACAGAAAACATGCTCCTTTGGCCCTCACCTCATCACTGCACTAAGAAAAATGCCATTTTATTAATCACTCTACAGCACACCTTAGACAACATCGGTAAATCACACTGAGCCTAAACTATAATTCTCTTTGTTTGCCTCCTTTAGGAACAACAGAGCGTGTCTGCTTGATCCAGGGCACTGTAGAGGCGCTGAACAGCGTCCATGACTTCATCGCAGAGAAGGTGCGCGAGATGCCGCAGAGCGCTCAGAAAACAGAACCGGTTAGCATACTTCAGCCACAGACCACCGTCAACCCTGACCGTGTCAAACAGGTGAGGCCTCACTTCCTTCAACTCGCCCTATTTCCTGTTTCTTCCTATTTCCAGTTTCCTCTCAGATCTTGCATGAGATTGTGTACTTCCTTTTTATTTATGCTACAGTTATATATATTATATATTATTATATTACAATTATATATTATAAGATTTTATAATAAAAAGCACAATCCCACGGACCTATGAATATAGTCAAAGAATGAAATGAAGTGAGGAGGGACATTTTGATTATATAAATGTATTTCTAATAAACAGTGTTAACTCAGTCAAACAAACTCTCGAAGATTCTGAGTGTGTCATTGATTGTGTACCAGCTCTCTGTTTAGGTGATTACCGCCACCGGTCACTCCATTATTATGGTCCATTGATCTACTGGGCTCCTGCATTGTTGTCATCCACATCAATGGTTCTTCTCCTTTATTTATAATTTGCTTAATTAAATCACCCGTAGGACAAAGAGAGAGAGTTGGATGTATTCATGAATAATTTACGGCATGCTGCCGTTTTCTGTTCTTAATTTTTAGTTAAGCCTGTCCATTAAAGAAGTGTCCTCTTTGTGCTTATTGAGCAGTCTCTGTGAAGACAGGGCCATAACCTGAATTCCTAGAACATAAGTCCAAGATGCTTACCCCTGCAGAGTTGCCGACCTAATTATTTATGCATGTAATTATAGGGCTTATCAGTGGAGCAACACATCTCACTTTAGTGCACTTTATTGTCTCTGCTGGGAGAGCATCACTGCAGGCACTGCCTGCATTCTGCTGCATTGTGCAATATGACAAGCTATATTTTATATAGGAATGCAGAGAGGTTAGAATGTGGAGATACATTGAGCATGTACAGTCAGTTAGTCATAACTAACTTCCTTGAAATTTACTTAGGATTATTCTATTGTTCAATCCTTTGATCAAGATTAACTGATAGCATTGATAGTTTGCACACACGTACTGTTTGTTTTACTTTTTTGTTTAATTTATTATTAAATATATATTCTATATATTATATCATATCTATATATTTTGAAAATATATATTCAAAATATTTTAACATTTTATATATGAATAGGTATGTTTATTTTATTATAGTAATTTTATAATAATATATAGAAGTATATATTCAGTTATATAGATATATATATAGTGATATAATTGCTATAATTAATTATATAATTATTAATATCTACATATATCTAATTATTAAAATATATATTATTGTAATTTAATAATATATATTTAGTCATATTCACTATGACTATATAATTCACTAAATACTGTATATTTTTGTCTCCCTATATGTATAGGTATGTTTTTACTTTTTTATATTTTATAATTTGAATATTCATTATTCACAAAATATTGTATATTTTTGTATATATTTAATTCAGTTTTTTATTTTATCATATATGACTTTGCACTAAAGGATTCTAGTCAAAATTGCGATTTGCTTTTGAATCTGGTCCACAGTGTAATGTGATTGAGGTCATATGATCTTGCATTGCCGTTGCGTTCTTTTCCAATTATCACCGCACAACACAACTGTTGTGGCATTTATCTCATTGCAGTACACACTGATTGAGAGATCGAGGGCAAGAATTGAAGTCATATTAAGCAACAGCTGCTGATTTCGGGTCAGGAACGTCAACCGCTGAGCCTGCAACCAAATGGTCAGGGCAAAAGCGCGACTGACACCTAACTTAATCCACCCGCCCTTCCACACCCACCCGGCAGCACAGGAAATCAATCTGATCATCTAGATGGCTTATTGTTATGGACGCCTCATTGTTTCAGACAGTGTTTAACTAAACTCCGATGGTAAAGTGCCAGCCTGCAGCGGCTTCCTCTGGTCTGTGCAGGTTTCCTCTGATCTTTTCCTCCGCCCGTTTCCCACATCATGTTTTTTCAGGAAAAGGACCATTAATGCACAGGAGGACAAGAGTCCCTGATGTTGTCTATAGGTAGACACAGTAAATCACTGCAGTTGGGCATTTGCATTTTCGTGACTGAAGAGACACTGTATATGCGAGCGAACATTCAATCCTAAAACAAATCAATCCTAATGTCTATTATTCAACTGAAAATCTATAGTACTACATATGGCAATTACAATAATTCTCAAATCACTCAAGGGGAAAGAAATACATATTCTCTACTTTCATTAAGGATCAGCTGACTTCTGAAGCATATCCACATAGTATGTATTAGGCCTGGGCAATAAAACGGTATCGGTATTTATCGACGGTACACCTTCATCGATAACGATATTAAAAATGTTCTATATAGCGCATGATATAGGCACGTGCTATGAGTGACGCAGACAGCTCACACAAACAGAACACATGCTGAATTGAGTGCTGGGCCTGCCAGTGATGAGGAGATTGTGAATAAAAAAATGAATATTAGTCGAATTTAAAATAAACATTTGCATTTTAATGTAAAAATAGCGATTTGGCTCTAAGCAATGCATAAACACATGATGCTGTTTTGTTCATAATTGTTTATGCAGTTTACAAAATTATATTTGATTTGGGTTGATATATGTTAATTTAGACGTTATGCACGTTTTTATAGACAGTTATTTGAATTGACAATTAATGCGCTGCATTATTTTGCACATTGCGCCCTCCTGTGGCCTCGAGAAACAAGTCAAAAGTTTCCTTAAAGGGGTCATATGATGCGATTTTAATTTTTCCTTTCTCTTTGGAGTGTTAC